AATAATAATAATAATAATAATAATAATAATAATAATAATAATAATAATAATAATGGGGAAATTGATTATGCAATGACGTGTCAATTGATTGGCAAACTCGCCTCCAAAGCCCGCCGTACTTGTGCCGCTGCACTTCTCAAGGAATCTCCATATCTTAACACAGATGACACCGCAGCTTTACACGGTATGATGGATGCTCTTCTCGCCGTCACTCAACACGCCCTCGCCACTCGACCACCCGCCGCCGCACGTCAACCCATTTCTAAATTATTACACTTCGCGAAATGGTGTGATTCTTATACATTGTTGAGTGCCCATCACAATGAAATTATTAACGCTTTAGAAACTCAAGCCACACGTGATTTGGGGGCCCAAGCCACACAATTGGAAACTGTGTTATTATTAAAAGCCCTTACACCAGGAGATGAGGCCGCCGCACGAGAAGCGATGGATCGTATTTGGCAAGAAAGTGAAGGTCGATTTGAACCCTGCAGTGCAGATGTACTTTCATCTATTGCGGTGGTGGCCTCTGCGAATGGCATCAGTGATGTTTTTCGGGCAAAAGTAGCGGAACGACTTGTGAAGACGCAACAACAACAACAACGAGCACAAACAAGAGGAGGTGTGGCGGTGCAACTCCCCCGGCGGGCGTTGAATTTTGTGAATGCGCAGTACTCACGAGAAAAGCAGGAATCTATCCGACGTATGCTCGCTGCGCAGAAGGAGAGGGGGGAATAATAGAGTTAACTGTATGAGAGAGAGAGAGAGAGAGAGAGAGAGAGAAAGAAAGAAGGAAAGAAAGAATATATATGGAAGGAAAAAGAAAATGAAAAGAGAAAGTAGGTGTCATTGAGAGAGAGAGAGTGTGTGGAGTTGAATGAGAAAGGCAAACATATGGTCTTGTGTATCTTCACATCTTTACCTGCGTGTTTGTGCCTTTTTTATGTGGTTCATTCGAAAGCCTAAGTGAAGCGAGTAAAAAAAAAAAAAAAAAGGAAAGAGAATAAAAAGAAGGGAGGAATAGAAAGAGAAATAAGGAGAGAGAGAGAGAGAGACGGTAATATTTATTATTCATCTCTTTTTGTGTGTCGTTGTTCTCTTCTTCTTTTTTTCCCTTCTTTTCATCTATTATTCTTGATACGTTTAATTTTATTATATTTAAGGCCACTTTGGGGTCGCTGCTGTCATATCCCATTCCCCTTTTCATATTTGTTTTTCTTCAATTTATATAATTCTCTGTGATCTTCTCTGTTTCCATCTTTTGACTATAATGTGTACCAATGAGAACACTTCCTTCTTTTTTTTTATTTCTTTTCTTTTTCTTTCTTTATCTTTCACGGCTTCTGGCGAGGAAAGTGTGGAGAGAACTTCTACTGGGAATAAAAAAAAAAGAAAGAAAGAAAGCATATTAAAACCTTAATAACAAATTTGAGTAGTAATGCTTAATTTAGAGAAACTCAATACGGGTCTCTCCCGCATTGTGAGTGTAAAGACGTATCCCACTACCAGGCGACGGCATCTCCCACGTGATACGCGTGGTCGTGTCTTCCGTCTTGGTGTACTCCACAGTAAAGAAATGACAGAAGCGATGTTATTACGTAATAGACGTGGTTTTGTAAATAGTCAAGTGAATACAGTTGCTCATGCCCCATCACTTTATCATTGGCTTTTTCATCGCTGTGGTGTTCCCTTCGCAGAGGCGCGAACACTCGCTGAAACAGGTGGTATCAGCGCTAATGGGAATACTATTGATCGTGAAGGATTGGAGAGACAATGTAATTGGGTGGATATGCAGAAAATGGATATTCGTATTCGAGTGGAGACGGCCTTAACAGGAAAAACATCTGCTCCTGATAAGGATAATAATAATAATAATAATAATAATAATAATAATAGTGGTAGTGGTTCATCATCCATTATGTGGGTACCTGCGTTAAAACGGGCACTACATCGTCAGTACTTTTTGGTATATTTACATCCAGGCATTTCTATTACATCGGATCAAACAGATCCTCGAAGTTTTGTTCATCGACTCACCCCACTCATAGGAGAAACGGCAGGTATTGGTATGAATATTCTTCGACCTATTGGTTTTATGAATGGAATGAAAGGACTTGGTCTTGCCACTAATGATGTTTCTATGGTTCGTTACTGGAATAATGAATTCCTTGGAAACTATGGTGTGTATGATATTCGTTTTGCTCGTGGTGTACCATCAGAAGTTGTCCATAATCTCGCTATGGAAATAAATAAGGATCTGGATGCGGGTATTCGTAAACAACTTTCAAAGGATATAAAGGTACCTTGTACCTGTACGGTAGAGCCTGTACTAGATCTACAAAAACAGAATAAGAAACAACAATTACAATCACAATCACAATCACAACATAGACGTGATGTTGTTTCTGAACTCTATCGTATTCCTCTTCATAGTGAACGATTACTTATTTGTACACCATTATTACCTTACCGTGTAGCACGAAAATTGCGACGGGCAGGTGGTGTAATTACATTAGTACGCTCTGGCCCGTTTGCATTACCACCTTCACTTACTACAACGAAATTACGGCCATTATCCCCACAAGAACTTGCTTTAATGTTTACATTTGAACGTAAACTTAAAACCAATCGAGTTATACTTAGTTTACGGGAATTTGACGCTGATGATGGTAGTGTACCAGAAGTGACATTGCCATCTGTGTAAAATGAGAGACTTCAATAAGTAAAAGAATTATACAATACATGAGTTTTTCATTCATAATTTGGAATGAAGAAAAGAATATATTTATCACAATCGAGTAAGAAGAAGGAAGGATAAGAAATGAGAGTAAGTGTAAGAGTACAACTGTGTCTCCTTCTTTCTCTAACTCACTCTTTTTTTTTGTTTCTTCGTATCTGTACATAAATAAACCTTTTTTTTTATTTTCTTCTTGTTGTTGTTCTTCTTCTTGGTGTGGAAAACACATTTAATGTCTTATTATTTTTCTCTTCCTAATCTTCTTGTTTACTCCTTCTTTTTTTTTTTCTTTCTGTTAATTATTTTCTTTTACTTCTTTTTTTCTGTATTGGGCGTTAACCATTTGATATTAACGATAAGAACCAGCAGTATCATGTCGTGGGCAGCCGTTGCACAAAAGGCGAAAGATGTTACACCATCATCCACTGAGCCTAAGCGAGTTGTTTTTGCAGTCACGGAATCGAGTGAAGATCAGGAAAAAACAAGTAGTAAGAGTTTATACACTACACTAGGGACTGCTATTCCCACATATGAAAAGGGACTTCTTATCCTTGATGCGAATGCCTTTATTAAGGGAACGTTAAATAGCTTCAATGAAGTGACGGATGTCTTTGTGACCACTTCGCAGGTTATTGCTGAAGTGCGTGATCGTCCCGCACGTGAACTACTATCACAGTTACAACAAAAACAACGTCCACAAACACTACATGTGTTGGAACCATCTAAAGAGTCATTGGCTGCTGTGGTGGCGATTGCAGGCAAAACAGGAGATTTGGGTGCGATGAGTCGAACAGATATTCGCATCTGTGCATTAGCACTGGACTGTTGTACGGCTGCTAACGCCCTGTTGGCGCCTATTGAACCACGACCAGCGGTGATTAATCCTGGTGGAACGCATGGCACAGACATTGTTACAGAGGCTGTTTCTGATGGTGAAGAAGAAGAAGAAGAGGAAGGAGAAAAGAAGAAAGATGATGATAATAACGATGAGGATGATGATGATGATGAGGGAGGATGGATTACACCGGAGAATATTCACACATGTGCGGCAGATGGAACCACTATGAGTGGTGAACGGTTTACGGGTGGTGTTGCCTGTGTGACATCTGACTATGCGATGCAAAACACATTATTACATCTCGGTGTTCCCATTGTTGGACCGCAGGGAATGCGTATATGTGAATTACGTCATTGGCTTCTCCGCTGCACTTCCTGCTTTGCCATTACAACAGATACGACTCGTCAGTTTTGTTCTCAGTGTGGTAGTGGAAATACACTACGACGAGTTCAGTATGTTGTGACTCGTGATGGTGAAAGACAGTTGTTTATTAACTTTAAAAAGACCATCAGCACACGTGGTACTGTTTACAATCTCCCAAAACCTCGAGGTGGAAGACGTGGTACCAACAGATCTCTTGTTCTTCGTGAAGATCAACTGGCACATGTTGTTCGTGGTACAACATCGGCTAAATTAAAAGAAAAACATGTTATGCATGGTATTGGTGGTAATGATGATGATGATTTGGCGGCTTTTGGTGAAGCACCCAAACACCATAAACGTGATCCGAACCAACCACGCATGTTCTCCTCCTACCACAGGTACAACGTGAATGAGAAAAAGAAGGCTCGTGCATCCAGAAAGAAGTAGTAGACCTTCCTGACACATCTATCTATTTTTCTCATATATTTATATATATTTATATATATTTATATGTGTGTTTGTATTGTGAATTAATCTACGATAAATATCACATGTGGAAGAGTTTGAAAAGAAAAAAAAAAAGTTTTTTTATAGATCAATCACAGTGACGTGTGGCAAACACATACATAAACGTAAGAGAAAAAAAAAAAGATAGTATAGGAAGCGATAGGAAATCCAAGAGCCAACATGAATTCCATTTGCGTATATTAATGAAACACCTCGACTAAGAGTATGAGTAAGCGTAATTGTTCACAGGATTATTATTATTGCTATTATATTACAAAATGAGGAAATATTTTTTTTTTTGTATTGTTATCGTTACTTAATCTGTATTATTCTTTTTGTTTTCTTTTTCTTTGTATGTTTTCGTTTTGTCTTTGTGTGTGTGATTGGGTAACACACTCTCTCTCTCTTTAGTTTCTAAGAGGATGGTCTTTCAGAATGTCAGGTGGCGCAAATGGAAAAGATTAATGGTCTTCAGTTTGGGGGGTCAATTTCTCTTCTGTACCATGTGTGTCACCTACGCTCGTTATGGAAAGGATAAATTCTTCTCAGAGCACTGGCGGTACGCAATTCCTGTTACCTTAAATCAAACGCGTTCATGGGCATTTTGGCAAAATGGCATAACACCCAGTGAGAGAGCATGTGCAGAAGCATGGCTTGATGCTATGAACTTTAAATTACCATCAAATGATAAATTTGCTTCAAAGTTTATCCTACAGGATACACTGTGTTTACTCTGTAATCGGACTGAGTGTGCTAATGCGATAGCATTCCTACAGAAACTTCTCCCTATACAAACGACATCATATTGTATGGAGATACGTAAAGAGAAACAAGATTCAGTGGTTTTCCTTCACCTTAAGCTAGAGACAGATTTTACGATGAAACTACCTTTCTCTACAGTTCAACGCAGGTTTATTTTTCCCTCGATTGTGAGCCTTCAATTGGAAAATAAAGACAGTCAAACCCGAATTGCTGCGGCAGAACACCGTTGGTTTGGTGGACCACTTGTATCATTCCAAAGCACATCTATAAGCTCACCGTGGGGAGATATTGGCGATTTGTGGCGTCGTTTTAATGGTTTTGCCGTCTCGTCTGTCATGGGTAATGGACATGTTCCTGGGTGATAAATAAACAAACAAACAAAAAAAACAAAAAAACGTGGTTGAACACTCATACATTGTAACGTGTTTACCAAGGTGAAGAGAGGTGGGAGGGCAACAATTTCAAAGACTCATTTGTGTGTGTAATGTGGTGAAGGCCTTCTCTTGATGAGAGTTAATCTTTCTTTTCTTGCGCACATGGCTTTATGTGATTTGCTGGTTTCCATGTCGTGGGTGCTTTGCTTCGCTGAATGGGGTGGAGTTGGGATAACCTGCATGAGAAGGAATACCAAGGGTGTAATGAGTGCGACTGTGTAATTCTTTTTGCGTTTAAGGTGTTTAATTTGTTCTTTGGGGTCTAGCTACTGACACATGGTCGAAAGGGGATATTTTTTGCTGTGTGTGTTTGTAGTCCTTTCTTAGTTATGATGGTATGGTGTGTGTGTGTGTGGAGAGAGAGAGGGTGGGGGTATATACCCATGTAATTGTGTGTTTTGTGTTTCTCTTTGGTCTCTGTGGTCTTTGTTTATTTGTTATTATTTTTCCTGGTTTCGCTTCTCTTTTCTGCTTTTTTGTCTGGTGTTACTGTGATTTTTTGTAGTTGATTGACTATTAGGTGAGATGCTGCGGCGGACGCTCGCCCGCTGCATGGCGTCCGAGGCGATTGGGCAGGCACACCCCGATATTCTCTGGGGCCACATGGAGGGGCGCTACGCGGGGCCCGGGTGGGTGAGTTGGATCAAGCAACTGCCGGTGGAGACGCTTACGATGCAGGGCGGTACTTCCATGACAAACATGAACGACCGCGCTGGTGTAATTACAGACCCGGAGGATCCCCGGCACCCCATCGCCCTCATTCAGTGGGGCCCGATGAACCACTACGATGGTGCCTTCATGCAGCTGTCGTACGGGAACTATGGTCCCATTTCCAAGGGATCTAGACTCATGCAGGTCTTGTACGATAGTTACCTGGAGCCCTTCTCGATGAACCGCGTGTGCGCGCAGCTCTACTTTTACCAGAAGGTGCCGAACAACTATCATGCTTCTGTAGAGGCCTCGGCGGAGTACATTGGGCAAACAGCGTCATTAATAGGACAGGTGGTGGTTGGCATAGGTTCTGTAATTATGGAGGGTGTTACAGTGAAAGGGGATACGAACTGTGTGTACATTGCTGAGGGTGTGCAGGTGATGGAGAACACGTGCATTGTGAGTGATGCCCCAACGGACCTCCTGGCATATCAGCGTCATGAGGCCATCAATCCATATCAGCAGTGGGATGGCATGAATGGTGTTTGTCGCATCATGCAGAACACGATCATTGAGCCGAACTGCTTTCTAGACAGTTGTTCCATTGGTCCCTTCAATCGCATAGGACACAACACAAAGATTATGAAGGGTGTGACCACTGGCACAATGGTGCACATTCTCCCAGGTAGCGTTGTCACTACAGACACCAAAATTGGTGATGGAGAACTTTGGGGAGGTGCACCGGCGGTTAAACTTGGCAAAGTGAGCAAATTTGAGTGGAAACGTCCCTACTACGCCTCTCTTCTGCACAAGGAGTGTGTATCGGAGTCCTACCGCAACATGTCCCGCTATGGGGACCAAGTAGTTCACTTTCAGGACCAGATGGGCAAGCTAGATACACTCATGGTGCAATATGACGAAGACCTGCCTCCAGCAGTGCGGGCAAAGGTGAAGGACTTCATACAAGGGCGTGAACCATTTCACCACATGCTGACACGCATCACACAGGGCTGGTCCCCTGCCAACCGTCCTGACGACAAGAACTACAATCTTTGTCCTCCGCTGCCTAGTGTAAAGCTCTTCGCCGAGCACAACAATGATTCCTCTGATAGCAAGCTTCACGGAACATACATGGATATCACCAATATATTTAACGACTTCCGCTGGTAGAGTGGGGTGGCTTGGGGACTGTAGAAACCGGAAGATTAGAAGGGAGTGCGGAACGAACAGATACCTTGGGACTCTGGGATGGGATGGGAAGGGGAAAATTATTTTTTATATGGGTGGGTATGGGGGTATATGTAGTACTGGTGTCCTGTAGTATGTATGTGACCATCAGTAGAGAGTAGTCTGGTGAAGTAGCGCATGTGTGTTGTGAGTATGTGGGTCAAGTGAGAAGACAAGGAGTTGGGGAACTAAGGCAGTTTGAAATAGACGGCATATAGTTTAAGGTGGGGTTGCTGGCTGTTGCCTGAGCCAGGTACCCCGAGTAAGAGGAGATGGTGATGATAATGATGCTGATAGTGATGATATCACCCACGTATCTATCATCCCACGCGTACTGAGTGTGGTGTAGTGGAGGGATTTTGCTCGTAATCTGTACCCCTCCATTTCAGTTTAGTGACGAAATTGTTTTCCCTGCTGACCATGCATTTGTGTTGATGCTCTGTAGAAGTGTTTGTGAACGTGGTGGTTTGTTTGCATGCTTCTTATCTTATTTCCTTTTTCTTTATTTCTTTCTTTGTTTCTTGATGTTATCGTGACTCTAATGGTTCTAGCGTGGGATTGCTTGTGGGGGCGGCGGATGGACTCTCGTACCATGGAGCACCGCCTAAAGGTATTGCACGAGCAGCGCGACGTGCTAGAACGGCTGGATGAGGTGCAGGACGCTCTGGCACTGCTGCGGCAACGTCAGGAGCACCAGGCGACGCAATGGCAAGCTGTTTCCGCAGAGCAGCGACAGCACTGCAGCGACTTGGCATCCATGTACCAACAGTTGCAGGAGCTCGTTGCTGGTGGCTGGGTTGGGGGCGGCGACGACAATGTGCGCATGCCGCGATGCTCTGCTGCCCTCGCGTCGGCGGCGGAGGGGACGGCCACAGCACCGATAACGGCAATGCACGACGCTCTCAGCACTGAGCTGCGTGACGTGCTACTGAACTTTAGACAATACATTGAGCGCCACATGGAGACGACAAAGCAAAGGCTCGATGATATGCAGAAGAGTATCGACCGTATTGAGGGCACTGTGGAGGGCAATAGACATCGCTTTACACAGCAGGAGGAGCGAATCGCGCAGCTCGAGCAGCAACAGAGGCAGCTGCAGCAGCGCTTGTCCTCCACCCCATTGCTTGAGGATGTACAGCAGCTACAGCGCACGCTGGGGGAGCAGCTGCGGTCGATGCAGGAGGGGTTGACTGCGGCCATGCAGCGCCAGAGTGACGGCATTAACGAGCGGCTAGCGAGCCACGAGGCGCAGTGTTGCGGGGAGCAGAATGCGCTTCGCCGCGAGACGCTTCAATCCATAGATAAGACCGTGGAGGAACTGCGGAAGGAGCTGGATGTCGTGCGACGCGAGGTGGAGGCGCAGACGGCACACACTAGTGCGAGCTTGCGTGTCTCCGAGGAACAGATCAGGTGTCATGTAGAGGAGACCCTGAAGAGTCACGTGACGCAGACCTGTGAGCAGATCCACGGGGTGCACAGTGAGCTTAGCGGCAAGCATCTGGAGCTTGTGGAGGATACAATGGAAGCGGTTGAGAAGATTGCCCAGGTGGCGGACGGCCTGCCTGGAAAGGTGGCGTTACTGCAGGAGGATGTCGCCTCCGTACGCGAGACTCTCCGGCGACACGGCGAGGTGCTGAATGAGCAGTGTCTGCAGGGTTCGCTGCAGGGGGCGTTTGATGAAGTGAAGGATTGGCTGCTGGACCTCGAGCGACGCGTGCCTACTCGTGGGGAGCTTGACGAGGTGATGGCTGGAGTCGACGATAGACTATCTGCGTTGAGGCGGGAGTTCATCATCCGTGGACCTGTTGAACACCCTCCGCTGGGAACTGTGGAAGACACGGAGGGAAATGATGATGCTGCACCGAAGTAGGGATCTTGTGACACGGTCTCCTGGTCCAATAGCTGTTTTTTCCTTCCATTTCTCTCTCTCTCTCTCTTTCATTCGTTCTCCCTCCGTGTCTCTCAACCCCTCTTAACCTCTCTCTCCGTCGTTGTGTCTGTCTGTCTGTCCCTGTGAAACTGTGTCTCGGTTGATCTGTCTGTATGTTGCGTCTCTCTCCTCTTCCTTGTTTCTGTGTTGTGTAGTTGTCCTCATAGAAGGAAGGATTGATATTGATAGGGAGTGCCAGTGGCAGTAATTCTGGTAATTCTCGCGAGAAGCGCTAGTGAGTGCGAATGGCGTCTCCTAAGGCAGAGGAGGTGACCGTCTCGGACGGCATGCTGGCCAACCTTGAGCGCGACTTCAACGAGGCGATGCGTGCTCTTGAGGGGCACGAGAACTTTAACCGCTTTCGTGCTGAGTACGAGAAGCTACATCGTGCACTCAAGAAGAGTCACGAGTCGGAGAAGCGACTGGTACGGCATTGTCAGCAGCTGACGCATGAGCTTATGAGCAACGCTGCGAAGATGCAGGCAGCGGTGAAGCTGTCGCAGGGCGACCACAGCACTATCGAGGCCCTCAAGAAGGAGATTGAGAAGGCATGGCGCATGGTGGACGCCGCCAACGAGAAGGACGCACGTGCGAAGGACACGATAAAGAAGCTGCGGGAAGAGATTGCCTCGCTGCAGGAGATGATAGAAAACGGTACCACCCTCACCTCCACACAGACAGCAACGCTGGAGGAATTGAAGCTAGAGAAGAAGCGGATACAGATGGAATACGATGAGCTGGTGAAGCAAATGGAGAACCTCACGCGGGAAATAAATGATGTGAGCGGTAAGAAAAAGGAGACGGAGACGGAGATGATGGAACACCAGGAGGAGCTGCGCCGTCTTTCTGACCGCGAGCAGACAGTACAGCAGGAGTACGATAAGGAGGCGAAGGCACGCGAACGGGCTGACGTGCAGTTGCGGGAGCTGCTCCTGCTCGTGCAGCAACGCGGCAAAGAGCTCAAGGCGTATGAGCAGCTGGAGGAGGGCCTGAGCTCTGGGGTGAACGCGCTGCGGGCGCAGCTGCAGGAGGATCAGGCCAAGCGGCAATCGCTGCTTCAGAAGCTTGATACAGCGGAGAAGCAGCTGTATCACACGCAGCAGTCGTATGATGATGCACTTGACACAACAGAGGCACTGAATGAACGTCACCGTGAGGTTCTTAAGGAGATTGCGGAGGCGGAGAAGAAGGCAGTAGAGCTCCGAGCGGAGGAGCAGCGTACACATCGTGTGCGGGATAACGATTTCAAGGAGCTGCGACGCCTCTTGCAGCAGAACGATGACATTCGAAAGGAACAGGAGAACCTGAGACACCAGAAGACGAACATCGGGAAACGTATCGATGCAGCGCGGAGGGAAAAGGAGAACCTGCGACGCTCGTACGAGATGCTGCTGAAAGAGCAGGAGACACTGAAGAAGCAGAGTGAGCGGGAGAGGGAGAAGATTCAGATAATTGAGGGTATCATTGCGAGCGAGGTGGAGAGCCAGCAGGAGCTTGAGACCGCCATTGAACGGGAGAGGGAGGTCAATGCGAGGCTGCGTCAGACGGTGGCACGGCTGGAGAGTGAGCGGGAGAAATACGTGCACGAGGTGTCGCAGGTGACGCTGCAGCAAACCACAGCGCAGGAGGAGCTGAAGCTCGTCACCATCAAGTGCGAGGAGACGCAGAAGTTAATAGAGGAATGCGAACAGAAGTTGAAGAAGCAGCAGAGCATTTACGAGCAGGTTCGGACGGAGCGAAACCTCTACTCGAAGAAGCTCATAGAGTCTCAAGATGAAGTAGTGGAACTGCGGCAGAACTTCCGCATGATGGACCACCAGATCCGCCAGCTGAAGGACGAACTCTCGATGAAGGAGAAGAAGTTACAGGAGGAGACAAGTGGACAGAAGATGGCAAAGGACAAGCTTACAAAGGTGCGCAAACTCGTTAACGATCGCACCGCCCTCCTTGACGACACCAACCGGGCATGTGAAAACATCAGCCAGCAGATAAAGCAGCTCGTGAAGGTCATCAACCAATGTGATAGGGAACTCAGCCAGCAGCAGCAGCAGTTCCTGAAGGTGAGTGTCGAACGGGATCACCTGGGTGTGCAGCTCATACGACGCAATGACGAGTTGGCGCTCTTGTACGAGAAGGTGCGGGCGCAGCAGGAGATGCTGAGTCAGGGCGAGGCCGCGTACCGTGCACGGCAGGAGGACATGCGCCTCCTGCGACTAAAGATCGAGGACCTGAAGCGGCAGTCCATGATAGCCCATACACGAGCGCGGCACACGGAGAAGTTGAAGGAGGACCTCAAGCAGCTGCAGTACGACTTGACAGTGGAGCGCGCCAAGGTGCAGGCCCTTACCGAGGAGGCGGAGAACCCGAAGAACGCGCTGCGCTGGGAAAAGGCGGAGGGCCGCGACCCCACACCGGAGGAGCTTGGGCGCAAGATCACGCGTCTGCAACGGCGCCTCATCACAAAATCAGAGGAATGTGTGGAGAAGGACATGGAGCTGCAGGAGAAGCAGCGACTCGTGACGGAGCTGCAGAACATCCTTGCACGACAGCCGGGGCTGGAGGTGGTGCAGCGGCTGAATGTATGCCATAAGGACCTGCAGCACGAGAACGCTGTGATGAAGCAGAAGGCGTCGGAGCTCAACATGACGTCAACACACATATCGGAGCTGAAGTACGAGGCGGAGCGGTTGCGGCGTGAGCTGCACGAGACAAAGCGCAAGTACTACGAAATGCGGATGAGTAACGACGAGCTCTCACGGTCTCTCTTCGGTGACAGAGAGCAGCCCGGCTCCCTGAAGGGATAAATATAAGACACAGACAGTTTCTTCTGTGTAACGTTAGCAATGACTGTTCCTTTCCCTTCTTATCCAGTATATACTTGAATGTTGTAGTTTAGTTGATAAGTTTATGTTTTTTTTGCTTTTATTCTTGTTGTGTGGTGTTACTACCCACGACACCCAAAGAAGTGTTACGCATGTAAAGTACATTATTTCACCACGGACACTTCTGCTAGCCGCAGATGTGTATTTCTCCCCCACTCGTACGTATGTGCGTTGTGCACGTACACCTACAGTACACTCTGAGATGGTGACCTTATTCCATGACGGTTGTGTGACATCTGTTGTTCTCTTCTTTTTCTTCTTTTTTTCTTCTTTTCTTCTTTTCTTCTTTGCCACATGACCACAGTTCTACTCACGTACCCAAGGCTAAACTACTCGCGATGACATCCGTGGAATCCGGCGCTAAGGTTCTCCGCATGAAGGAGAGCGACGTGCAGAAGCTCGTTGCCATGCACTGCCACCTTGGCACGAAGAACCGCAGCAACGCCATGAAGAAGTACATCCACAGCCGCACCAAGGACGGCACAAACATCATCGACATCCACATGACGTGGGAGAAGCTGATCCTCGCCGCTCGCGTCATCGCGGCTGTGGAGAACCCACAGGACGTCACCGTCTGCTCCACGCGTCTCTTTGGACAGCGCGCCGTGTTCAAGTTCTCGCAGCTTGTCGGCACGTCATTCCTCGCTGGCCGCTTCATCCCCGGTACATTCACAAACCAGATCCAGAAGAAGTTCATGCAGCCACGCGTGCTGCTGGTCACAGACCCACGCACAGACCACCAGGCCCTCCGTGAGGCCAGCCTTGTGAACATCCCCGTTATTGCCTTCTGCGACACCGACGCCCCACTGGAGTTCGTCGACATCGCGATCCCGTGCAACAACCGCGGCCGCTACTCCATCAGCATGATGTACTGGCTGCTGGCCCGCGAGGTGCTGCGCCTGCGCGGCACAATCCCCCGCAGCGTGCCATGGGACGTGAAGGTCGACCTCTTCTTCTACCGCGACCCCGAAGAGGCCCTCAAGCACGAGGAGGCCAACCAGATCGCCGCACCGGTCGCCGAGGTGGACGAGGGCTTCGGCTGGGTGGAGCGCGACAACAACGCCTGGGAGCAGTAAGCAAATGCAGTTGTATAGCGTGACGAACAATAACTCTTTACTTTGTTTTTCGTTTTAATTCACAACTATGAGGAGAGGCCCCGTGCATTCGACGGTGTGATATCTTGACAATGCCTGTCTCGCCCTCACATAAAATATGTTGTTAGCATGCCCTGGGAGACTAGGGTTGTAGGGGTGTTCTGTCGCCCTAGCATATCACCACACATAAATACACAAACATGTATATTACAATTGCTCTGGTTCCAATCTCTCTCTCTCTCTCTTTCTCTTTCTCTTTCTCTTTCTTTCTTGTTTCTTGAATCCAGGAAGGTATGGGCATATAGTTGTATGGGCGGTATCACGAATAGGTATGAGCCTTCGTTCGCCCATTTTTCTTGATGTGGGCATTGAGTTCGCGTGCACATTATGGTGGTATGGATTCCCTGTGCTTTCGACTCTTGACAGGGTTGAGGGCGGTATGGGTATGTCCTCCTATTTTCCTCTATGATGTGAGTTTACTTCTGGAGGAAACTGGCCGTTTTAATGGTTTTACCGTCTCGTCTGTCATGGGTAATGGACATGTTCCTGGGTGATAAATAAACATAGAGATGGTGTATTCTTCTTTACCTTCTCAGGTTTTCAGATAATGTCGCATTTAATTTCGGTATTTGGAGAGATTTCTCCTATCATTCTGTTTTTCGATTCACGTTTTATATTCTGTGGACTTTTTTTTGGTTTGTTTCTGTTTTTTTTTTTTTTTTCGGGTATTACGTGTGGTTGGTGTTGAGGCTTGTGGTGAACGTTGAACTGGATGAATGTATGTGTCGAAATATGAAAGTTGAGTGAAATATTTGTGAGAAAAGTTTATTTGTCTGTTTAAAATGTGTGAAGGGGTTGCTGTCATTGTTTGCTAAAACAGTTCTAGGATCATGTTCTAATCATTTCTTTTTTTTATTTTTGTTTCTGCTAACTTCATTAAGGAAGTATATATTGAGGGAAAGGAAGATCTGTGATGTCTTGTGACCCTTGCTACGCATGTTACGCAGAGATTGCTGACATTGTGGTTAATACGAAGTCTTTGTATCGTCATCAAAACAAAAATGGTGGTACGGACCTACTTCATCGCATTTGGCGTGTGATGGGTGAAATGTTGATAGAGCAAATGGTAAATAAACGTTCCTGTATTGTGCCGGATTTCTTTCATGCCAGTATTAAGTCACAGAAAATTGAGTTTTATAATGGTATGAAAACATTTTATAAACCACAACTCGTTCTCTTGCCTGATTTTCTTTCTAAATATCATGTACAAAATGTTCTAACAATGCATGATGCTCATTATCATGCAACTGTGCCAGAAATGATCAGTTATGCAACCATTGCGGCTCTTGTCGGTACGGATAGATTTACTGTTGAGGCCGCTATTTGTGACTCTATTCGTGAAATTGGAAAGTATCTGGGACGTAACCCTACAACAGTTTTGCGAATTGATATTGGTATCGCTTTCTTGGAATTTCGCGGTCGTGAGTACCGCATTAAATGGTCTGAAAACTTTCTTAAAAGATTTCGTGCTGTAGTTGGACCGCAGTCATTGGTATCACCTTACGATCCACCACCAATAGCTTCAAAAGCAACAGGTTGTCGGTTTCAGACGGGTTGTTTATCAAAGGATGATTTAAACGCCTCCGTTGCGAATACTGTAGAGGATGAGAAACGATTGACATTGGTGGAGATGAATGACTCAAAAGGTGGTTCTGGGTTCAAAAAGTCGTTTTGGTGAAGAGAGAATCTTTTTTTTTTCTTTTATGTTTTCTTCTCTGTGCTGCGATAAATTTGTTCCATGGCGAAACAACAATAACAACAAAAACCGAAAAGGCATTCCCATTCTCAGAGGGAATGAATATGTCTTATGTAAAGTATCGAGCGATGAAAAAAAAAAAGTGATTTGATGTGCTGAGTATGGGTATGAGTGAGGGAGTGTCAGAGAGTGGAAAATGGAAATAATGTACTTGTTAAGAAAAAAAAAAAATGTTATGTAAGAAATCCTCAATACTCTCACAGGAACATATATTTTTTTTTGTTTCTCAGATACAGGGAGTGAAAAGAGTAAACTAGATGTGTTTTTCTTTCTTTTTTTTTATTTGTTTTATGTGATATATATATATATATATATATATTTCTTGTTCTTGTTGTAATTTGTATTTACTATTTGTTTCTATTCATTTTATCGTTATATAATTGTTGCTGTAGTTTAGAAGAAGAATTTTTTTTTTTTTAGCAAAAGAGTAACAGTACATGCGGCCATACCACAGCGGCCCATCTCCGTTGGGTGAAAGGAGTGTCCCAATGCAGTACTATAACCAACAACAACAACAACAACAACAACAACCGCAGCATCAACAACAACACCAACATCATCATCATCATATACAATCGCAGCACCATCAATTTTATACTCATCACGCACATTTTCAAGGTATTGTCCCCCCAAATGGGGCCGCTGTACCACAACAACAACCAACTCAGTACTATTCAACTCCCAGTGTACTACCGACTACAACCTATTATACCCAACCCCATCACTTGCAACAGCAAATTCCACATCAACACCAACATCAGCATCACCATCATCATCATCATCATCAACATCAACACCATCAACGACAAGCGCCTGGTGTTGGATTCGGCAATATTCCTCGAGCAGGATGTACACTTTACACTCCTGCCCCTTATGATATGGGATTTACAGCACCACAGCAGATTTATTACCGCGAAAACTTTCGTGGTGGACGTGGACGTGGAGGGTCTGCGGTTGCTTCTGGTGGCAGTGGTGGTACTGGGGCTTCTACTACCGGCGGTGGATCTCGTGGTGGACATAGTGGCAGTTTAGAGCCGCGAGAGTCGTATTTTGCGGTACATTTGAAGAGTTTTGGAGAGTTGGAAGAGGCAGGGCGGCGTGGTTCCCTGCGTGAGTCTCTGCAGCCAACGGTACTTGGCCGCATGAACCGACGGGCCTCAAGTGGAACACTAAAGATTCTCGTGTTAACAGAGCGTAAGTATCTTGCAGCATGCATGTCTGTTCCACGCTCAGAAGATGATGTTGTTTTGTCAAAGGAAGTCGCTTCGGAATTTTTGGATGTGCAACACGTACACTGTGATGATGGGCTCCGTTTGGTAGATGTTGAAGATGGTACGCATGTGGCAAAGCACGTGTACGCAACCCTACGTACTGCCTTGGCTCAATTGGCATTATATGATAAACCACAGGCGAAGGCTGAGATGGAAGTTGATATCCATACCCCCGCTTCAACACTTCTACTGAAAGATATTTTACAGAGTCGCGCTGTATTTTCCGCACTTTCTTCCGCATTAACAAGTACTGATGACGGTACGGCAACAGAATTATGGAAACGTATGCTCCTTGAACCTACTACACCCGCTATCACAGGTGATGGTACTGAAAATAACCAACCAACACAACAACAACAAGAAGAAGAAGAAGAACAAAAACAACAACAGCAACAAAAACAACAACAACAAAAAGTGGCAGGAAAGTCTAATGCCACGATGTTTCTCCCTTCATGCGGTGTTGCTTTACTCGCTACGGCGCAGGGAACACGACTGTTTAGACTCGCACTGTTACATCAGCAGCGGCGGAAAGAACTCTTTAATATCTTGTATGACCCTGAGACACACTCAATGGATCCTGCAGCAGAGCCACTCTTCATGGCCCTCTTTTCTTGCTCACTGGCGTCAAGGTTTGTATTTGAATGTTTTGGTCTTGTGGAAGGCACAGCCCGTTGTGATGAGGAAGTGAATATTCTCTGTACGGGTCTTGAACGACTCGCACTGAAGGTGGTTTGCAGTAATGGTGGTAGTTTCATGATGACAGCCCTTGTGAAGGCACTCTGTCCAAGTCGATTTACGGGAGGACACAAAACAGGTGGAAAACGTGGACGCGATGCTGAGACAGATGCACAACAACAACAACAACAACAGCAACAGGCAGAAAATGAACAGAATGAAAATGAAAATGATGGTCAGGGAATGCACTTGTCTGGAATGTCTGCCTCAGGGCACAAGAATGAGGGTCCTTCTGAATGGCGTTTATTCTACGCGGTGGCGCGAGCCTTTGTCGCTGGACCTATTCCCGGTGATACAGGGGAAGATGCAGCGACACTTAGTCGCCGTGTTAAACTGCTTACACAGCATGTTGTGGCCTGTCGTGCAATTCAAAGTCTTATTCCTTTTTTTGCAGATGCCATTGTTCAAGTGGGAAATGCCACAAAACAACAATCAGAGAATGCCACATCACCGGAGGCGACTCAGTTTGGTGATGATTGTGTAAAGATTATTGGTGAAGTAGCAAATCAGAGTGGACTCTTGGCCAATCATAGTTATGGAAATTATGTTTTACAGACTGTTATAACAGAGTTAGCGCAGCGTGCTAATTCTGGAAGTCCTATTTGCGAAATGCTACAAAAAGTACTGGATGCCTTATGTAGCACTATCTTTGAAGTCAGTGTACAGAAGTTTGCTTCCAATTGTGTTGAAACTGCTATTGCAGAATGTAATATTCTTCCAGATGGAGCCGCCATTATTTTGCGTTTTGCTAGGGCTCTTCTGGCGGATGGTCCAAATCGAATGATGCAAGTGGCTCTCCAGCAGTATGGTAATTATGTTGTGCGCAAACTGCTGGATCGACTTACACTCATTGCAAAAGGTACAGGCATCCGAGAGGGGGGCTCACCGGGAGTTACAGAGACGGAAATGGCAGAAGCAAAGGAACTTGAGCAGCAGTTCTTCCAGACTCTTACTTCACAGTTTAATCAATTGCGACAAACCTCTCATGGTGCTGGGCTGCTCGCATGGGTACAGAATGAACGGGATAGAATACGTCCAACACCAGTAGCATCAGCCACAGCGGGAGGAGGTGGAGATGCTGGTGGTGTTGAAGAGAGTGAAAAACAATAGAAATGACAGGAATAGAAGAAAAAAAAGAAGAAAATAATGAGAAATATATATATATATATGTGGGGTTGAGTGTGAAGTGTGAAGTGTGAAGTGTGGAGTGGAGTGGAGTTGGGGAGTGGGCAAATGGAGAGAAACATAAAAGGAAACTATACATAGGTTACAAGTATACAAATATATTTACTATACAGGGGGGAAAAAAAACGACGACGAGATATTATGAAGAAGGGGTTCTTTTTTCTTTTTCTTTTTTTGCTGGTACAGGAGCAACTGCAGCATACTACTAATAGAAAAAAACAAAAACAAATGGTGCTTGCGGTTGGATTGGGAGTTGATGAGGTGTAAAAGAGAAAAAAAAAGAGAAAGTATTCAAGAAATTGTGCTCGTTGAAAAAAAGGTAAAATTAAATGCACAAAAGAGATAGAGAGAACTCAGAGGGAAATAGAAATTAGTGGTTCCGTACAGGGGTATATATATATATACTTGCGGACACTTTACTTGCACATTTGCTTGCGGTTGCGTGTGTCCACACGCAGAAGGGATTTGGGCAAAAGTGAAGAAGAAGGGCGAAAAAAAAACAGAACGAAAGGAGAAAAAAAAAAAACAATGGGAAAAGAGTAAAAAAAAAATGAAAAAAAAAGAGAAGAGTGTAGATGGGCCAGTATTATATAATTAAATATATTTAAGAAGGGGCTGAAATATAGGAGAGTGGAATAAAAAGAGTGCTATATCCAGCATTTTTGCTTTACTCACATTTTTTTTTTCAATGTAATAAAGATAAGTATACGCATGCTTACGCTTGTGTAAATCGCTTGCAATTTGAAACAAAAAAGATAAAAAAAATGGAAATAACAGATAGTTTAGAGGCAATATACACATTATATATATATATATATATATATATATATATCTGTTGGCATGTGTGTAGGTGTAGTGGGTGGAATACGTACACAGAT